TTATAAGAGAAAGTCTTCTTAATTCCCGAAAATTGGTGTACCTTTGCATGCACACACGGGGTCCTCTATAATATAACCCATTCTGATGAGGGCAAAGGCGTAGCATAGGGGGGGGAGACGGGGGTGGCCCGCCCCCGGGTGGCATGTGACAGGGAGCGACGTTATTAATAAAGATGATTGTTTAATACCAAGTGTAACTTCCTCAAAATTATCTCCATGACTGAAGTGGTAAAAATGAAGAGTACTAATCATACTGAGACCTATAGGACTTGTAAAATTAGTCCAAGATCATGCGCGTAATCAAGCGAAGATATCAGAAGGTAATTGAAGTCAAACACAGCGGAATATATTCGATGGGCTGCAAAAGGACGTGGACGGATGAATCGAGACAGGAGCGAAACGTTAGCTCGACCACTTACAGAGCAGTCGAGTGTCGAACCGGATGTAGGTTATGACGGTAATGTAAGGGAGATTAAAGCAAGAAAGAACAATGTACAATTGGTCAGCAATGAAATTGTACATAAAAGCGTGTAGTTCTCTTTTGGGCGCTAAAGACCGGATGAAATCGATAGTGCAACCGTGGATATCCGAGCCACAGAAAGCGACAATGACGGCACGGATGCAGCGGGAAATGTTTGTAATGCTGATACAGAAGATGTATGCGAAGTTGAAGAATTGGAAATGCAACCACAATTTGACACAATAACACACACAACAACCTATTTAGTGGATATCTGTCGGTTACCTGTTAAGATTGGCCATGCAATCCGCACTATGCTTGTCCGGCTCGGGTCTACTGTTGTGCATCAAGTCGATCATGAATTGAAAAGATGGTTCTATATGGAACGAATACAAAAGCTGGGGTTAAGAAGCTAACAACGAATTGGTTTTTACTAGATTTGCGAAATGGTGAGCAAAGATTGCGAACACGGATGGTGACCCCATTTTTGTTTCGGCTGCAGGATGTTTTCAACGGCATAGTCTACTTTTTCGACTGACGGGGGGTTTCAGAAACTGGTGGAAACTAAACCCAAAAGCATGTGAACACGAATTCAGTGTATCTCTTGCTTACTGACTGCTCAACCTCAAGGAGCTAGGGATCCGGCTACTTGATGGAAAGGCAGTTGATAAAATATGTAGGTAGCACTTGTAGAAAAGACATGGTGTGCAATCCATGCTAGATTGCTTGACATCGTCAGGTTTCTCGCCAAGTAAATCATGATACTGTGTGGTCACCGAGAAGACATCCAGGATGACAAAGGCCAGGAAAAGAGGGGAAGTTTTCAGAATTTGTACACTTGTTGGCCACGTATTAACCTGTTCTTGGCGACCCTTTGCTGACAGTTCAGCAGGGAAGGAAAACCGGCATTTTTTTCTTTTTCTTCACACGTTCAAAATGAATTAGCGAAATTTTGGTAAAGCAGGAAGAACATCGTGCATTAGGTCCAGGACTGCAACTATGTTTGCGAATTTTTTGATAGCGCACCCGATGTATCACAAAATTTAGATGAGTGCAAATAAAGAGAAGTCAATTCTTAGATTCATTGAAATCAACAGCAAAAGAGCAAAGAAAATTGCTGGATGGGTTTGGGGGAACCGGAATAGGATTGAATTCAGATTGATGACTGCCGTGGCCAGGTATTTGACAAGGCTACTGTTATGGCGGGTTACCAATCGGGTTTGTAGATAGATCTTCGAAAGCAACCCAAAGGTATATTTGCGCTATGCACAAACTATTTTCTGAATCTAGCTTGTGTTTATGGAGCTTCTGCGACGGATTATTCTGTCACACAGTTGGTACGCCTAACCGGATGTTCTCACTTTTTTCATCTAAATATTGCTTGAATGTCTTGATTCAAGTCACAGATCGAAGTATCAAGTAGTTGCAAAATATAGCTGGAGTAGTCGATCAAGTGTTGTACATATTGTGGTGAAGAAGTACTCAGAACCCATAACTTCTCTGAAACATTCCACAAGATTGGATGCATCTTTAGTTCTCACCTCAGTAATGTCACCTCCGTTTATTTTGTGTCTGAGCCTTTGGAGGACTATTCTCATAGTAATCAAGGATGTACAGATGTCTATAAAAAACGGCTAAATATGGAGCAAAGCTCTGTCAAGCTTATAATGTTAAGTGTTTGCCTTCTTCGGAAGAGGGAAATGATGGACATTACAATGGATGAATTCGAAAAGCGTTACGCTGAATTGGGAATAAGCATGATACGTAGAATCCTCCAAAAGAAACGAGAGGACGGAGAAGAATCGCTTGATATTATCGATGTGACTTGTTGCTGTTAAAACGGGGAATTCTGTCTGTCATAGACAGTTTGACTGCTAAAATGCCATAGATGTTAGCAAGTTCATGACTTCACTAACAAATGTGCTTTTCTTACGCCGTCAAATCTGCTTAATGTCTGTCTGCTTAGCGAAGCCGAAGAAGATATAGAACATAGGAATTCCTTGCCGAAAGAAGCTTGTAATATTGTATGAAAGTTTCAGTCAACGACAAAATTAATGGACCTTCTGAACTTTTGAGCTTTACACAGAACTATCACCTTGCGAAATCTGCTGCGTATCTTTCATACTAGAGCTATTAATACTGCTAATTGTGAGAGCGCATTCTGAAAACGCACTTTATAATAACTACCTTCAATCATCAATGAACCAGATAAGACTCACGGATGGGCAGTTCCCCTCATACAAAGGAAACCTGCCTATGGACTGAATTTTGTTAGTGTTCTCAATACTACTGCCTCAAGTAATGCACGAAAATTGTATCGACAAATTTTGTACACGAGTATTGTAATCATACAAATACCTGCATTTACGGCAGCCCACTAAAATTAGATCATTGATTGCTGTTATATGAAACGAAATATTGACTGGCGATTCGCATTTGTGAGGGTTTACGGATTTACAGCTGCCAGGGGCGGCAATTTTACGTCCGCCCCGGGCGGCAAAGGTGCTTGCTACGCCACTTGACGAGGGCCTGTGCTAGAGCGAATACTTCGGACGGTTCAGGGCGGATGACGGTAAGGACAGGTCAAAAACCACTTATGGTGCCCCTTTCCAATCGGACAGCGTGTGTTGCATCAAAGACAACGGTTGATCTACCGCGACCCATCCACTCTGGATCAAGCGTAATCGCATTTGACGTATTAGGAGTAGAGGATTTGCTATAATTAATTGTGAGTTCATCGCAGCGAATTCCAAATCAGATAGTCGTCCACATGCCCGGAAAAACACTAGACAGCAGTTTCAGCCTACTGTATCAGTAGAGCGCATCTGCCGGATCCATTTAGACTCGAACCTATGGCCACCAGTGACTTGCATCGCCCAGTGGCATAAGCTGCAGCCTGGCGGTGCAAGTCACTGGTGGTCTTGGGTTCGAATCCTGACGGACCCGATGGACGCGCACTACTGATACAGCAGGCTGAAACTGCAGTCTAGTGCTCTTCCGGGCATGTGTACGACTTACTGATTTGGAACTGGCTGCGAAGAACCCCCAATTAAGTAATGTGCTTTATCGTGTCAGATACTCTCATGATTTACTTGATGGACAAGTGCGCATCGAAGAAATTAAAGATGAGATCTTTACTTCTCTATTCGAAAGTGGCCTGGAAAATCTCCGCGCCCGAGAACATTCAGCGAGGGTTTCCAGATGCGGTTCCATTGGTGGACATAAACCAGGTTGATCTATAGATTACCACATAGCGGAAAACTGATGTAAATTAACCCAGCCTATCAAAGCTCGAAAATATCTGCTTAAATGTACCCATCTATCTGATGTGCAACAGTGGTAGCGCTGACAGAGGAGAGTGGAGAAAACGCTTCGCTTGTGCTTGTATCTTTTAAACTTGCCTTCTGTTCAGCCACCTGACTTTACTTCTCAGCCCCTATTTCATTCATTTAACGCTGGACAGGGAGCAACTCATCTTAGCGAAAGCGTTTCTCGTCGCATCTAGTTAGATAGATCTGCAGAATCACCGAGATGACTTCATCTCAAGTAATTATCCAACTACCACATCTTGTTTTGGACCCCTATTTCACTGGCAGTAATGCAAGCTTCGATTACTTACGAACATGGCCTACGTATAGGATGGATAAAGTCGCCAAAAGCTTGTTTTTGCTTTGGTCAATAAAATGGAGCAGCTTTCAGCTCGTCAGAGCACTCGCTGCAACATGACTTCCACAAGTCATTTGCATCTTGGTCTGGAATCACACATGGAACGTCAATGTTCGCTGGACTTTGTATGTGCACAAATAACGCGATCACCTATGTGACAGCTAAATGGAAAAATTCAGCTAAACTACCAAGCTCCAGACTGACTAATGAAGACAGATTCATCGTGCATGCTGAATGAAGCACCGACAAGTCCACGCACGCAGATGACTTATCATAGCAACTTGTAGGCCAAGTTCAGCGAACTGTACGAGCGCCTCACCGTTTGGTTCCCCTAGATGTAGCATTGCCATGTTCTCAGTTCAAGCTGCAGCGGAACAGCTGTACGCGCATCAACACAATGTGTGATGTACAGCGAGTCGTCAAGAATACACACTTCGTCATTTGCCTCAGCTATATGGTGGTCTGTGCCGAACTCACAGTAATGAACTCTGGAGCGGCGCAGTGGCCGAATGGACGGACAGTGCATGTTTTGCTGTGTGAATTGTGCTACCGTGTAGTGACTCTTAGCTGGACTTGATAAGATCTTCTCGGTCGGGACGATAAAATAGATAATTGTCTGATACCAGCGAGCAGGGTGGTCCTGGGCCTCAAACCTTTATCGGCAGAGCTGTTGGTCTCATCTCGTCGCTGAAACGCATGTGGCGCTGCGCAAGCCTCTCCTCATATACCCAATAGCAGCATGCCAGATGCCTTAACTTCGGTCACCAGAGTCCATTCGTGCGAGGGGTGTATATCGCCAAACAATTGTATTTATGGTACTACATCTTTCACAGATCAGATTCCGTCGCCACTAACCAACTTTTCTTTACCCTAGTTCCCCAATACAAGGCCAATACTTCACACGGAACAGGAACGAAGAACACCAGCAAGTCACGATTCTGTCCCTGCTGTCTGGGCTCCATGTCCCTTGTGACGAAGCTGGAATGGAATTCACTTGCAAAACCTGGAACTATTTGGCGTAAATTCTCCCGTCGATTGTCACCAAACGTGGATATTATTGCTGTCCCGACTTTGTATTGGATTAGCAAGTATGAAAAATGTCCGGACATTTGGAATCCTGTCTTTGCTGCCACATATCACGACATGACAAATGATGTTTGGCAGGTTTGTCAAGTGTAATACCTTCTTGGAGTCCGACCTCACAGAATGGACCGGTTTTCTTATCCTTGTGGTTAGTTGAATCTTTTTTCTCACCCCAAACAAAAAGTATGGCGCAAAAATGCTGAGGAATAAAACCAGTTTCGTCTGATTTGAGATAACAACCTGCTACTTTTGGCTGATAGTGCTATCTGGCCATGGGATAAAAATTTCTTTTAATGTTGACCTACTGGTGTAACATGGACTGAAGAGATGTCAAGATCTGCACACGGTTTGTTGGGAAAATGGCCTGAGGTATGCACAAGGCTATCCGAAATCACCCAGACCATTCTGAACACACTTAGTACTGTTCCTAAAAATGTGCTTGATGACTTATGCGATTTACTCTTCTGATTGGATAGTCACATAACGAAAATCCCCGTGATTCCACAAGGTCGGTTCGCACACAGCCACGTTAAATTCGTGGTACCAAAATACACCAAATAAATAAATAAATCGTTTATGCTCTGCAGTGCGAAGCACGCTTGTAAAGGCATAATCATGATAGTAGAAACAAGTATGGTGAGTAATTGTACAAAAATATCGCAAGTTAACCAGTAACATGCTGCATTAATGTGTGTATGTATATATGCAGATGCATTTGTATATGTGTGTCCCATGCTGAGACTGATGTTGCATTCATGATGCTTCTTAACCGCAGTTGGGCTAAACCAACTTAAACCAACTGAAGCTAGGTCATTTTAAGCTGAATAAATTTCATGCCACTTTATTTGCCTTGTTCTGCCTGCATGAATTATCTTCTACTAACTGGCCGCGTTGCTTACGCTAAGTGTGGTTATTTTACTTAACTTTATTGCGTTTGTAGCACGTTTGAGTAACTGCTGGACATCTTGTACTTGTCGCGGATTCGTCGCTAACCAACTTACTTCATATGCTAATCTAGCGAAGAGTTATGTCGGCATAGTCGTATGCTTTAACAGATACATTTTCTTTGCTAATGTCATTTCAAGTGATTGTCTATTGTTTGACATCGCCGGTGTGGCTCCGCTTGATGTGCATGTTGACAAGGTGCCTACCGGTCTATTACCTACTACCTCGTCCATCCTGGTTCCAGGAGACCGTCGGTCGTTGTTGGAGGGGACGAGAAGCACGGTCCTCGTGGCTGTGCTAAGCTCGAAGAGCGGTTCCATGCACTCAGTGTGGAGCGGAATACGGTCCAGCCACCGTCTTGTGTGCGATTGATTCCCCAAGTACAGCGTGTTTGTGTCTGCCTGTGAAGGAGTGTGGGCCGGCTCAGTTGATGCAACCTGTTTCCCATCCACATGTCTCTCGGTCTTATTCCTTCGGGTTTACACTGGATATGGGGTGTGTGGTTGGAGTCGTGAGTGGTGCAGCGCAAGCCATCCATGGTCCGTCTGTAGGCGCAGCCGTTCTGTGGCTGGCCATAGAAACAGGTCAATCCGAAACCGGATACCGCCAACCATGTGTGTGTAAGTGGACATGGCAAGTGAATTTGTTAATGTGACTCTGAATTCGTGATTTTGTTCTCTGTGTTCGTATGAATGGATCAAAGTAAATCTTCGGAATGGATGAAGACCGTGAAGTGGGAAATATCTTCCGGAAAAGAAAGAGGCAGCGACTTTATTTATTGGTGAGTAAAGTCCGCCACGTTGTAGTGTTGTTAAACGGACATTCGTGGCTTTTTATAGGAAGAACGCTTGCCAGGTGGAAACACACCACATCCTGGAACACTTCCGCCGAACCCTTTACCGAAACGGGATTAATCTGGACCCCCAGGCTGGCACTACTGGGAGGTTATAGCCCATATGCCGCATTTACCGTAAATTATTAATACAGACCTCAGCTTGAAGCAGCTGATGCGTGTAACCAGTATTCAAGTTGGCAAACTCAGCGTACGATTGGATGCGCAACCATACGTAGGGCGTTTCATTTTTCAATACATATAATGGTAGTGAGTTCTTGGATAGGGAATTGGGACCTCTCATTGCTTAAGTTGGGTAGTATAAAGCGTAAAATGTGAAAATTAACATATAGGACATGACACTGTAAGCCAACACACTCCGTCACATAGAATTCATTTTCGGTAACCATTATCTTTAAGTTATTCGGTTTAATCTCACCCCCATAGTTTGGGAAATGAGCGAGTATTTTGTTCCGTGGAACGAAGAGTAAACTATTAATCTCGTTGTGGGTTACCTGTCACATTAGAGCCAAGCGTCGACACAATATGTTTGATCAGTACAACACGAATCGTTCAGCTGACTGCCTGGAGTCTAGGGTACCAATTGGTTTTTATGAGAATACAAGGCCTAACGGCAGCTTTTCGTGTTTCTATAATTCAAACAATCATATGTATTGATCAGTTATCAGTCAGACATTCGAGTAGCCCTAGTATCGCAAATCACATTCATCCTTTTACTTGATGGCAAGTGAGTGTCCTGGACAGCATGTCGGTGTATACCATCTTTAGAGCTACTGTGAGATAAGTGGAATGTTTATGGTTTCACCAACGTTGCCCAGTGTGTCTGGATAAGAAACACGGCCCATCCTTCCCCTTGTGAATGTCTGGAGGCTGAGACAAACAGTTGTGTTTACCATTCACAGCAGGAGCAATAACATGACAAAAGTCGTAAAATCATGTCCAATGTCCCTGGTACCATGGTAACTGCGTCGACTGCATATCGTTCCACTCCGTAGGCACGCGAGAGGGTAAGCATTAATAATAACGGCTCGAATTTAACTTGCAAATATCTGCTATTTCTAAGCGCAAAATGAAGTTCATTGATAGCTGATAGGTGTAAAGCATGCTGTTTACATCGAAATAGTAATACAAAAAATGACTATCAGTATGGGTCTTGATGGTCGGGTATCTGGTTAAAATCTTTTTCTGCCTAGGTCTACGACATCTTGTCCGGTACTTGTGGTGAAATGGCTTGACCACACGGAGATTTCCCAATGACACAGGCGGACATACTTGTGGCTGAATACTGACGATTCGGCACAGCTGTTCGTCAACTGGCACCTGGTTTCGCAGCCCATTCTCCACCCGATAACGCCCACTTTCCTTCCACGCCAGCAAACGCACGCGCCACCTTGTACACACACACACTGGCGTCTCATTCGATCCTCGTTCTCTCTCTCTCTCTCTCTAATCTTGTGGGAACTAGGCTTATGTCGTCAGCGTCTCCGTTACTATCGTAACAACAGGAAACATAAACATAGCTTCTCCCTATGACTTGGGTGGCAACCTCAAGAGTCAATGAGCAAGGAAAAAATATTGTGGGACAAAAGAATCCTTTGGATATTTCTTACCTGAACTACTATCGCTGAGGTAATTCTTTATTATTATGGAAATTGGGAAAAGGCCATTAGCGCTCCCCTGAAACCTCGGGAGAGCGAAGCAGAACAGATTCCATAAACATAGCATGCCGTCAAGCTTGGGGAGAGAAAACCAGCTGAGTCTCTCGATTTCGAATGCTTACTTCACGGAGGAGTAGAGTAATGGTAATTAAGTCAAGCTTAGTTATGATCGATTGTGTTAGACGCAACCTGCAAGAGCAGATCATTCAATCAATCCTACAGTAGCGTGCCAGTTCATGAAATACCTGTAACGAAGCGGGGACCCTCACAAGTACGTTTCATTACGGGACCCTACTAGTGCCTTGCGACATACACACTCTCACCAAATCTGGTTCCATCCGCAGTGACCGATAAAGTCATCCAAATATATCACCATGAAAGAAAAATGCCGCGTATTACTAGACAGCGATTCTAAACCATGGCGAATCAAGCTAGGCCCCGTGTGGCTTCAGATGCAGTCTAGATCTGAAGTTCCCCAGACGGACGGAATTTATAATATGAGTATCGATAACTGACGGAGAGTTTGAATGCCTAGTGTGCGAATGACGATCTCACATAGCTACTTGTGGGCAGCTTCAGAAGTGGCTTCGTTCACTGGATCCGATGATGCAATGATGACTGTACAGTTGGACACAATAAATTAGCGTATTCGTACTAAGTCTATTAACTGGACTGTTCATTCAGTTGAGGCGCGTAATATTCATATTAATGCTGGTCACTGCTGATTCATTGTAAAACACTGGTTCATTCGAATGCTTTCACACCTTATAGGATAAACTAACTGACCACTGGTGATATATACTTCACTTTTACTTTATCATTCAGGCCTAGGAGATTGGTTGCAGGTAATTTCCGTTGTTGCTGAACTCCCCTACTGATTGAGGTTTCAGGTAGGGTGAACATCAAGGATATTAACCAACGGTTAAGCTTCTCAATTTCGCCTGGCGATGTGGAGGCCTTAAGTGTGATGATACTAAGGCTTAACATCAGCGAGTGGCATTTGTAGATTGTGATTAACCTTGATACAGATAAGTTAAATGGCGTGAAGCCTAATTCATCACGCTGGAGCAATTGCAGAATTGTGTTAGCACTCTGGATGCTGCCTTACGGTTGCTAAATGACCAGTGGTCCCTCAACTACGAGTATAAATGTAGCCTAATACTAAAACTTGTTTGGCTGCCTTACGATGTAAGATGTGATTTTGCCTCACGACATAACGTTCCGAAAAGCTAATCGGGACGCCTTAACAACCGCTTATGGGCCACCTGGGTTGGTGGCCGAGCCATCACCAAGCTGCCACCTCTCAAATATGAACTAAGCGCCTCTCGACGAAGTGAGAGTGGCAATTGAGAAGTATGTGCATACAGTCAATAAATAACATCACACGTAATGCTTGCACTAAACCCTCTGGGTTCACCAAGATCAATAGCGAATGAGGTAACGAAGACCAGATGAATGGTGGAAGCGTACCACCAGTCTGGAGCGCGAAAATTCAAGTAAAAAATATCAGGCAAACATAGAATAATTCCCTTTGTATAAGCGTTTATCTTCCCGTATTTGGCAATAAAACAATTGGGTTATATTAATTCAGTGAGTTCCCATCCTTGAAGTGGTTCAGTATGCACATAACTAAGCAAACAAGCACTCCGTTGTGATGGGCGATAAATAGTAAAATCGGAAGGTTCTGATGAACGAATGACTGCCAATGTGAAGGATGTGTTGTGCAGGTGGCTGTATAAATGTTCATAAGCAAGAATGCGGCTTTCCCACAGCACG